TATAAATTTTTACAATTTTTACATTTAAATATATTTTTATATAAAAGTAAAATTATACATTTTATTTTATATATATTGAAAGACAAGTGTCATGTGTCGACCATCATAAGCCGAAAGCCTAACCTCGTGCGGCCTTAAATTCTAAAAATGAAATTTAAGTTTATAATCACAGCTCACATTTTCAATCTAAAAAACACATATGATAAGTGATGGAAAGCCCATGTTTATACATTCAAAATCCATTTAATCTGTTACTGATATAAGATCCATAACATTCTACCTCATCTATTTGTGCAACATCTCATTGCATTGACTTTTTCCCCTTAAAGGGTATAAACTTTTACATTAGACCTCAAACTCTTATATCTCTCATGAAGGCCCGACATCAATAAAGATCTAGGCCTTCTCTAATACCACTTGTCACAAGCTGTAACTTAAGTCTAACTTCATATAACCTAAGTTCTGAAAATAAAACTTAAATAGGCCTATAAATCATGAATCCACATTCTTAACTTAAAAAGCATGCTTGATAAGTGATAGAAGACTCATATTTATATACTTAAGATCCATCCTATTTCTTATTAATGTGGAATCCGTGACATCGACAATGACTTTAAATACATTGTGCTAATTCAAGACTTTAGGCTTATCATTGGTAGGCAAAAGACTTGTTTCAATCTTAAATTTTATTATATAAAAATACATTTTTAATTCTTATTTATTGAAATATATTCTTTTGCTCTTATATCTAAATTCCTTTTTTTGGTTAAATAACTAAAATAATAACCTAACGATACCTAACTTGAAAAATTCATAAATGATTATATTAATTATAGGCATGATTGCATAAAATAATATATTTTATTATAATATTTTTTGATGATTTTATTGCAATAATTTATTGTTAAAGTAATTGGATAATACACTCAATTTTTCTTAATATTTAATACTTTTGGGTTTAATGCAGAAGTTACTTTAATAATACAATGTATAAAAAGTCTGTGTTTATACAATGCACATTATAGTATATGACCCCACTTATACTTTGTCCTGACTACACCACTAAATGAATCCTTTAACTTATATGTATGTTCATATTTCTTCATTTAACATTCTACTACTGACTAATAAGAGATAATCGTACTCATATGTGAAACTCGATCAATGGTTACACTAATCTTTCTTTGTGATTTTGACTCATTAGTGGAAACATATATCATAGACTTATATCTGATGCAATGCTGAGTACTTGATATTTGCAGCAAGCTATACAAGAGCTTTTCAATATTAAATAAAGAAAAGAATTGAAGGACCAAACTGCCCGAAACTAACTTTTCATCTTGTTAAAATTTTGGGTTCATCTAATTCTTGGGTTACCTAATGCTCATCTTGTATATGTTACTGTTTCTCCTGTTAGGGTTCATGATTTGTGTGAGAATTTAGACATTAATGGCCCTGAAATAATAAAGCATAAGGTACATATCCAGTAGCATTGTCGTTTAAAGCTTTACTTCATCAAAATACTTTGTATTTTATATTAGCACGTATTTCAAGTGGCAATCCAACCTGTTCATACATTAGTGGAAGCATAACTAATTTGCTTAGTACGTATACATCAAGATAATTGTCAACCAAGATATATAAATAAAAGCAATTGTTTAATTATAAAAAATATTGTCAACAAACTGGAATATTTAAGTGTTCATGCAAGCCAGCATGATTCATATCTACATATAGTTTTGAAAATTAAATTAGATGCAATCTCCTTTTCTAAGGAGAAATGTCTCTTCGTTGGGCCGACAATTCTTTTTTTTTTTTAAAGAAAAAAAGGGAAAAATAAAGGTTAAAGGACTCTGAGACAAAAGAAGAATGGGGAAGTTGTTTGTCTAGGATTGGCTGCCACGTGAGCATGAAAGCATTAATATTTATATATATCTATATCAAGCTACATGAATAGATGAAGTGATATCTCTTCTGCTTATGGTTGTGACGGGTGCCCCCATTCCACCGCCCATATCTATCCTTGAAGAAGCCATGACTTTTAAGTATGTGCTTTCTTTTTCTTGCTTCAAAATGTAAGCCCACGGCTATGTCTATATACTTCCACATCTCAATTTTCCGGATGACAATGGGTATCCCATTTGATTATATAAAATTTAAATACTTTATAATCAAATTTAAAACAAGTTTAAATAGTAATTTTATCACTCTTATCAGATTCGGATAGAATTTAGATATCACACGTTGAATATCTACTATCCGAACCCACCCATTATAAATATTTTATTACTATAGGTAAAAATCTTAGTATCCCTTTCTTTTCTTTAACTAGCCACGACCACAGTCGCTCCTCCTTCCTCTTTGTTTTCTTCCCCAAGCCGACAGCCGCTCCTCTCTTTTCTTTACCTAACCATTGCCAAATCCGCTCCTTCTTCTTTCTTTTCTTCCCCAAAGTCAGCAGCCACTCCTTTCATTTATTTGCCTAGCCACTGCCATAGCCGCTTCTTCTTCTTTCTTCTCTTCCCCAAGCCGACAGCACTCCCTTTCTTCTTCTTTTCTTCCTCGCTCAACCCTAGCCACCGATCCTCCATTCTTGGTCTTCCATTCAATGGTGTATTCTTGCTCAATATTATTTTATTTACGTTTTTTTATTAATTTAATAATTAGTAAATTATATTGAATATGTATGAGAATTCTTGTTGTATATAAATACGGATATGAATTTGGAATCAAATAATTAGATATCATGAAGAGTATTTTAATAATTGTTTTTACATAATTGAGTTTTTAAATAAGATCGAGTAAGTATAAGTAATGAAGATATATTAAGATTAAGGTTAATATAATAATTTTTAAAAATATTCAGATAGTTAGTAGAGTTCAAATATTTTATTTTTTTATAAAATTAAGATTTGAGCATTATCTTATTTGTTGATAACTTTATTTTTTTATTTTTAAGTAAGTTCAAAAATAATGACAAATCATTCAACCATAATCCATACATAATCGCCCATCTTCTTAATTAATAAGGCACCATGTGTTTGCTTTAAACAATATGTCCACAATCACAAAAATTACATATATTTATTAATTAATCTGACTTACAAAAACAAAAGTGAAAATGAATGATGAATTGGACATTTATGCTCGAGAGTTGCGTGAAGGATTGTTGTGACACTGTTGAGGCAACTTTCAACTGCTGCCGCTCATGGGAGCACCTGACATCACGTGGGGTTTTTTTTGTTTTTTTTTTCTCCATTTCTTTAATTTCGGTGTGATGATGTGATTATTTTAAGAGTATTGCAATGAACTAGTTAAATGTTTGACCTGCCAGATTTGACTTTAGATGCTGTAAAATTACATTATTATCCTCGTAAATTTATCAGAGGATGAAAGTGTAATAGATAGAAAGAGTCCATAAGTTTCAAGTGCTGAACTATGATGGAATGGTAATGATTCGTAGGGGTGGGTATGTAATTTGAATAAAATGGTTTAGTTTGTTTAATTTATTTGGTTTAAAAAAATTCATTTCAATTAATTTTTTTGATTGGTTCTCAATCCTATTATTTTTAGATCCAATTGATCAAAAAATTAAATTAATATTATATACATATTTTAAATTTATATCATATATATATAACTTTTAAATGTAAATTTGATGGATTATGTGAAAACACATAATTATGTGAACGAAAGAATAAATGTTATATTTTTTAGTATTTACATTATTTGTATAATTTATAATTATAAATAAATTTGAATTTTATAATTTATAAAAAAGAAAAGTGACAAAATTTTGATTTTTTTTGTTTAAAATCAAATTTGATCAAATTAATTCAATATTTAATTAATTTCCTATAAAAAATTGATCTATTTAAGATTTCATTATGATAAATCAAATCGATCGAACTGATCGATGAATTGCTACCCTTTAATGATTTGAAAAAAAGGAACACAAAAACATAATAGAGAAATTCTGTGAGGGAAATTAAGTGAATCAGGAAGTGATCATTTCCCTGAAACCAAACTGCCCAAGTTCACAAGCAACGAGCCACTTGAATGCATGTGATTGGAAGCAACAAAATGCATATATATATATATATATGCACACAAACCAATAATACGAAGAAGCCAATTGTCTAAACTTGCATACAAAATGTTTCCAAGTGATGGTAGAACTAGAACATATAGCACTGCTCTCTCACCACATGTTTGTTTTCTGATTTTTCGTACAATTAATTGATCATGCAATAAGGGGGCTGCTGCTGCTGCTGCTGCACGTACCCTAGCTATTTTGGTGGCTTCTTCCAATACAATAAGTGTGGTTCCTTTCGATCGATGCAACAAAAACATCATCTTGAACTAAAACTTAACCCACAAAAGATACATAACAGGTTGCCATAAACCCTTGCATGTGCACGGATTTTAAAATGATATCTCCTCAATGTTTTGTGCCAACGTTATGTTAAAAAGATTAATGATGGATACATTATATAAACAATTGGTATGGTACAGGTTAAAAGATCAAACAGCTAGCATGTGCAAGCCCTTTTAAACTGATATCTCCAAGATATTTTGGACATATTTGAAGGTGACAGAAACAGTAGTAAATAGTTGCTTCAAATATAAATTTGTATCCAAAGATTCGATCAATGCACTTATTCATTGTTGCAGCACTTTGGCCACACTCTTGTCTATTTTTGTTCCTTCTTTCTTTTAAATTACAACGAGATCATAGTTGGAATCCAATGGAAAATTTTGATGCTTTGCTATCTTGTTAGCCCCGTTACATATTAAATGATAAAATATTAGTCTGAAATTCCAGGTTAATTCTCATTAACGGTGTAACAGCCAGTTAACGGCGGCTTACTGCTGACCTGTATCAAGAAAGAATGATGAAGTGGTCAAGAAGATGCTGGATGTTGAGGGAACCAGCTATATATTTTATTTGCTGTATCCTAGGAATCTACAAATATTTGCAAAGTAAAAATGTGGACAGATGAACCTTAAATTACAAGCTCAAGCTCAATCACGTGGGCTGATACACAAATGTACTAAGATGAATTTTTAATATCCCAAATGTTTCCAGAAAAGAGGAACAGCAATCAAGGTCCTTAAGCAATCCCACAACAAGACCAGCCTCAAGTTGGGGGTAAAGACAACATGGCAATCTAATCTGACAACAATGTTGCAGTTCAACTTGACAAAAAACATATGAGTGCATGGATTAATGTTGAGCTCTTTCTCTCTCTTTGGGGCCCAAAGTTGGGGGCTTGCATATGGCCCAGTAATTGGTGAACCTTTATTTCCCCTCACAAAAGAGGGGGGTAGGTTTGTTAAACTTGGCCCACTCGTTTTTCACTAACTATACCTTGCAACGTCTTGAGCCATATTTCTTTAATTCCATCTCCTCAAGCAAATATGTCATCACAATTTACCTGTTACGGCAAAATGAAGACCGGCATAAGCTATACTCTGGGATGTAAGCTGTAGCTGACATCAGGACATTGCGATGGGAACCACAAAAGAATAAATTCCACAGGTCTAAATGAAGTTGGATTGTAAACCAGCTGAACGTGACTTGGCAAAAGCAAAGGACTTTGACATCGGCAAAGCATGCAGGACGCAGACCTGCAGAATAAGTCATGATCAGGAAAATTGGTGGAGGACTGAATCCAGTAGTTACTCCCAGCTTCAATTATTGATGCATCAATATATCTTATAATGAATGATTCTAAATCTTGAAATCAATTTAATTCTGTAATGACATAACAATTAAAACCATACACAAAGCAAATGAACAGCAAAAAATCACAAGGATTGTACCTCAAAGTGCTGGCTATTTAAACTCCATGCTCTTCTGTGCTCATCAGCCCTAGGATTATACTACCACACCAAACAGGGGCACCTAGGCTTTCCAGAATTCTAGATTTCCTAAACCGAAGTACGAGAGGAAGTTAATAAATAAGGCTTCTGCATGGCATTGTCACAGGCCTCATGTTTGGATCAAGGTATCAACATAAATTTCATCAGATGCAGAAGAAATCCAGAATTCATTTGCAGCTGTCACCGCTGGAAGATATCTTTATGTTGCTCTCTTCAAAAACTCCATGCTATAATCATTTTAATCACCATTAAATTTTACTTTCGATCTGAAATCCTATTCTTACAATATTGTTTGTGGCTACCCATCATGCAGATATCTCAATGGTGGATGAATTCAGGTCATCTTAAAATTTAATAAAGCTTCAGAAAGTCCATATATATTTTCTAGTTGCAACCTCATTGTCAATTCCAATTTTCCTAGTAGTTCATAAATCCTTTCACTCTCTGGGTGAAATTTATCATCAGCAACAAAGCTATGAACCTCATTCTTTATCTCAACCATGCTCTGTGCAAACATCTTCTTTAAGCCCTTCTCCTTTATTAGAGTTCTAATTGTTGCCACATTACCCCATTTCCCATCAACAGCATATATATTAGATAATAGAATATAGTAACCTGCATGATTAGAATCTAAGCAGAGAAGATTCTTTGCTGCCAACTCTCCTATCTCAACATTGTGATGAATCCTACATGCAGCAAGCAAGGCACCCCAAACATGGGGCTCAACTGGAACTGGCATTCGGTTTATAATGTCCATGGCCCTGTCTAACTCTCCTGTACGGCCTAGAAGATCAACAACTATGCCATAGTGCTCTGAAGTAGGACCCAGTCCATAATCATTTACCATCATACTGAATATTTCAATCCCCTCCAAAACCAAACCTGCATGGCTACAGGCAGATAAAATAGAGAGGAAAGTGACATTGTTAGGTCTAGCTGCAGAACTCTTAACCATCTGTTCAAATAACTTTAATGATTCTCTACCTTTTCCATGAATTCCATAGCCAGCAATCATAGCACTCCAGAGAACAACATCCTTATCTATAATTCCTTTAAATACTTTTATTGCATAGTCTAAGCTACCACATTTTGAGTACAACTCTATGAGAGAAGCCCCAACAAAAGGATTACTATCAAAGCCACTTCTAGTAATATAACCATGAAGGCATACAGCTTGATGAAGAATACCTAACTCCGAAGAAGAAGCAAGAATCTTTACCATGGAAACAGCGTCAGGTAGGATTCCACTAGATAGCATATCTCTGAAGACCCCTATAGACTTGTCAGCCATCCCAGTTTGAGCATACCCACTTAACAAAGCAGCCCAGGAGACTACATCTTTCCTAGGCATTTTTCTAAAGACATTAACAGCTTCATTTGGTGATAAGCACTTCATGTACATATCAATCAGAGTGGTGGAAACTGAGACTTCTAAATCAAAACCTCTGTTAGTTGCAAGTTCATGAATCTTCTGACCATTGTCTAGATCACAAGCAACTGCACACGCTTGAAGTGCACTAACAACAGTAACTGCATTAGGTTGAAATCCCTGGTTGATCATTTCATTGAAAAGACGCAATGCTTCAACAGCAGCCCCATTATGAGAATAGCAACCAATCATTGAGCTCCACGATACAACATCTTTCCCTACCATCCTCCTAAATAAATTTTCGGCTACTTCCACGACACCTGTCTTTGCATACAAATTCAACAATGCGTTAACCAAAGATAAATTATTTTCCAACCCTCTCCTAATGACAAAACCATGTACACTCCTTCCAAGCTTAAGATTCATCAACTTAGCACAAGCAGAAACTAAACTAACAAGGGTTACACGATCCGGTTCAACACCCTCCTCTGCTACCATTCTTGAGAAAAAGGCCACAGCCTTTTCAAAACAACCATTCTGCTCATAACCACTCACCATTGAAGTCCACAAAACAACATCAGGTTTCTCAAACTCCTCAAAAACTTTCAACGCATCACCCATTTGGCCACATTTTGAGTAAAATTCAATTAAAGCAGAACCCACAAATAAATCCAATCCAACCTTTTCATTTTGCCTCAAAAATCCATGTAAAATTTCCCCTTGTTGAAGCAACCGTAAACCTGCACAAGCCTTTAAAACTATAGACAGAGTAAAATTATCAGGCTCATTTTTGTCACCTTTTTCATTAGATATCATGTTTTTGAAAAGAACCCAAGCTTTTTTCCATTGTTTTTGTTTAGAATAAGCTCTAAGAATTGAGTTCCAGAGATAAACATTTCTTTGAGGCATTTCATCGAACAGTTTCTGAGCTTCTTCAATGGAAATAAATTTAGAATACACAGAAGCGAGCTTTGTGGTGAAAAAACTGTCATGGGAAAACCCAGTTTTGAGAAGTAGTGAGTGTAATTTTGCTGCTGATTTCCCATCGTTACAAGCTTTGAATAAATTGACCAAGAGTTGCCTCCTTTTCATCCGTAATTTGGTTATCTATTTCAACTTCAGATTTTCTTCCAGGTGCCTGGACAGTCTCGAATTTTCCTTAACTGTTAAAAGATGGCCTTACTTTTTGGGTGCACAGAAGAACAAAATGCAGAGACATGTTAGCATCAAAATTAGAGCAACCCAAATTGCTATACACAAAATCAATGCTCCCTTCCACTTTTTCCTGTTACACACTATAAACAAATATTTGACAAAAGGTCCAGACACCAGCTATCTTTCCTTTTAATGACATCTGAAACGCATCATGCTAAAATGACACATTATGTTTTGAAAACCTTTAACCCTTAAATAAATGCGAAAAGAACAATTTTAAAAGAAAATATTTAAAGGGAAAGAAAGTATTTAAAAAGAGTAAAAATTTTTTTTTTAAGTATATATACAAATGAATTAAAGATGTCAACTTATAGGTAAATAATTCTTTTACAAAATAAAGATAATACTTAAATATTAGATAAATTAAATTTTAAGTTTTTAATTTATATCAAATCTACATATAGATAACATGAATGGATATTCACAAAATATTCATAACACTCTCCTTTAATACAAGGAAAAAAACTCATAAAAAAAATTCAAGTGAAGAAAAAAGAGTATATAATATTTTCAAGAATACACTTTTGAAATATTGTCTCATTAAAAACCTTATCAAGAAAAACTCAGTGAAAAAAATCTTAATGAAGGAAAGGAGTACAATGCGTATTTTACTCTCCTGATGATGTATTATAGAATCTTTAAAATGATGCATTCCAACTTTTCAAATGTTGCAGTAAAAAGGGTTTTAGTGAACAAATCTGCTAAATTGTCACTTGGCTGAATTTGTTGAACACTTATTTCACCATTTTATTGAAAATCATAAGTGAAGAAGGATTTGGACGAACTATGTGTTTTGTTCGATCACCTTTAATATGTCCTTCTTTTAATTGTGCTATGCAAGCAATATTATCCTCATATAACGTTATTGAAATTTTTTTCTTTGTTGATAAGCCACACATTTCTCGAATATGTTGAGTTACAGATTTTAACTAGACATATTCACGATTTGCTCACGAGTTGCTAAAATTTCTCTATATGTGAACAAGTAATTTGTCTAGAATCCAGTTTTGTGTAGATCAGATGAATATTCTGTATCTGCATAACTAATTAAAATTTATTTTTGATGCATTTGAATAATGTAATTCCATATCCATTGTTCCTCAGAGATATGTTTAATTCAATTCCAATGTCTTCGAGTTGGAAAAGAACTATATCTTGTTAATAAATTCACAGCAATTGATATATCAAGTTTTATATTGCTAGCAAGATACATTAATGCTCCAATTGTAGTAAGATACGGTACTTCAGAACCAAAAAGTTCTTCATCATCCCCATGAGATTGGAAAAAGTTTCTTTTCACATCTAATGACCTTACAATCATTGGTGAACCCAATGGGTATGCTTTCTTCATATAAAATTATTTTAGCATTTTTACAATATAATCTGATTGATGGATAAAAATTTCATTTGTCAAGTGTTCAATATGAAAATCTAAACAAAACTTGATTTTTTTTCAAGGTCTTTCATATGAAATTCACTCTTTAAGTAATCCACAGCTTTTGATAACTTTTCAGGAATTTTAATAATGTTCAAGTCATCAACATAGACAGCAATTATAATAAATTCATATCTAAACCATTTTATAAAATACATGGGCATATAGAATTATTTTTATAACCTTCTTTCAACAAATATGCACTAAGGCGATTATACCATATGTGTGAATTGCTTTAATCCATAAAAAAATTTATTTAATTTAATAGAGTAAATTTCTCAAGAATTCAAATTTTGTGCTTCAGACAACTTAAATCTTCCAAGGATTTTTATATAGATATCGTTATCAAGAGAGCCATATAAATAAACTGTAGCTACACTCATTAGACGCATTTCAATCTTCTCATATATTACCAGACTAGTTAAAATAGAATTGTAATTATATCCATCACAAAGAATATATCTCTTCATATTTAATACTAGATCTTTAGGTAAAACATTGTGCAATAATATGTGCTTTGTATCTCATAATTTCATCTTTCTCATTTTGTTTTCACACAAATACTTATTTATTTTTCATTGGTTTTACGTCATTTGGTGTACGGACTATAGGTCCAAAAACTTTATATTTTGCAAATAAATTCAATTCCTCCTTAATTGCGTCTTTCCATATTGGCCAATCATTTTTATATTTACATTTTTCAATAAAAGTTCAAGATCTCGTTCTTCTTTCACAATATTGAGCTTTATATTTTATACAAAATATTGTTGACGTTTATTTACCGATTTCATTTTTTTTCCATCATGACATAATTGATTGAGATCTCTTTACTTTCAATGATTTCAGGTGCCTGAATTTCTTTTGAAATTTTTCTCAATTATGTCAAAAGTCTTTTCTAGAGTTTCTACTTCCTCTTTCTGACCATCTTAAATATTTACTCTTTTTTTTATGAAGATTTTATTTTTGGAACCAATTGGTGTCAACGCTTCTAGCGTGCCTTATCCTACAAGAATATCAATACTAATAGGATTGCAGCTGGTAGATAAGATTCTATTTGTTCAGTAAATACGTCTCGCAACTGATTTATTATATTTTGAAAAAAAAATGATATTTTGAACTTCAAGTTCATATTGATTTGTGCGAGGATTAAAACTAGATAATTCATTTTAAGAATTTTTTTTTTTTTGCAGCTACTTATTTTTCTCCCCCTAATGTTGGAAAAATTGTTTTATCAATATGACAATTAACAAACTTTGTCATGAATAAATCTCCTATTGATAATTCTAGATATTTAATTACAAATGGAGATTCGTATCCAACATATATTCCGAACTTCCTTTGAGGACTCATCTTTATGCCTTGTGTTGGGGCAATTGAAACATATACCGCACATTCAAAAAATTCTTAAATGGAAAATATTCAATTCTTGACCATAAACCAATTGTATGTGGAGAATTTATAATAACTTGTTTGGCCTAGTGCATACAAATACTACTGCATCTAAAATGGCATGCCCCCAAACAGACACTGAGAGTTTGAATTTCATAAGTAATGGCCTTGTAATCAGTTGAAAGTGTTTAATAAATAATACTGCTAGACCATTTTGTGTAGAAACATAAGCAATAGGTTGTTCACTAGTTATTCCAACTGATATGCAATATTAAAAGTTTGAAATGTAAATCCACCAGCATTATCAAGACAAATAATCTTGATTATGTAACTAGAAAACTGTGCTCGCAAACAAATAGTTGCAAATGTCAAATTACAAGCTGATAATAGGCACATATGTGACCATCTAGTCAATGCATCAATTAAAACCTTAAAATATCTAAATGGTTCACATAGTGGATGTATGAATCCACATATAACCTTAAATATTATTCAAATACGTAGGGAATTGAATCCCAACTTTAGTTGATGATAGCTTTATAATTTATTTACCTTCAGAGTAAGTAGCACATAAAATTCATTAGATTGAAAAACCTTCTAGTTTTTCAATGAATGATCATATAAATTTTTAATCATTTTTTGCACTATTATTGATCCGGGATGGTCCAACCGATCATGCTAAACATTAAAATCATTAGTAAGCTTCTAGTTTACTATGAGTTTCAATTATTCTAATATTTGTATAATTTAATTCTGAGAACATGGCGAGTAAATTTTTTCTTTCAACACACACTTTCTATCTAAGATAATAGATGTAATATAGGGGGCATTAAGTGTCTCTTTTATTTATTGTTTCAATATAATATCTATTCAGGCGAATATTTTTAAAACTTAATAAACTTCTTTGAGACCTAATAGAAAATAGTACATCCTCTATTACTTTATTCCTCAAGATAGTAAAATATTAACTCTTTTGGACCCTCCAATTAACTTTGTACTGCCAGATATTTAATTGACATTGATTTTTTTTTTCATTGTCAAATAGAAAAATTATTTCTTGTTTTTAAATATAATGTGTGTTTTAGTAATGTCTGCTAGACATATAGTTATATAATAGATCTTGCATTCAACAAGATGAATATCTATATTTTTTCAATAAAATAAAATATATATAATAAGAAACTTACAAGTTAACATAAAAAATATTAAACATAGAATTAAAACACATAATAAGAACATATCATTTAAATATAATAAAAACATATTAAAGCATCTTCATAATATAGTTATACTAAATATACCAATTACTATTAAGTTCATTATCAGATATTTCAATTACCAATCAAACAATCAATTCCTTTTCAGGATAAGAAAATTGATAATAGATATTTTTATTACCAATCATATAATCAATTCCTTTTTCAAGGTGGACAAATATCTTGATGTGCTATATCAACTTGGCCATGATTAATATTATCACAAGATGTTTTAATTTTTAGTAATGTTTAATAAAATTTAAGACGTACAATAGATACGTGACCAATGATCTTTCATGCCACATTAACAATAATATGTTTTCTATATTCATTTTATTCTTTTCATTATTTATCCACTTCTAGTGGGTTACAAATATTCACCCACTTCTTGATAGATAATCTACTTCTGGTGGGCTAGCGGGTTAAGGTATATATGTACTTTTGGTGCGTTGAAAGTGTTCATCTATTTGCGGTAGGTTACAAGTATACATCCACTTTTGATGTGTGATTCACATATGATGGGTTATCCACTTTTGGTAGATTATAAGCATCCATCCAATTTTTATGGTAAAATTATCTACTTCTAGTGGTAAAATTATTCTTAAATTCAGGTGATAAAATATCCATATACTTTTAGTGGTAAAATAATAATTAAAATAGTGATAGTGTAAATTGTTGTGACCATCATAATTAAATGATGTTGCATTCACTTCAAGGAATGGATAGTTTTATGATTATGACTATAATTAGTATATGATATCGCATTCACTTTAGAGAATAGACAGATTTATAATTTTTTTATTAGTATCTCGTTTGTCACATTCACTTCAAAGAATGAACATTCATAATTTTTATTACTAGCTCGTTTGTTACATTCACTTTAGGGAATGGACATTTATGGTTTTTCATTAATAGTTATATAATAGTAAATTCACTTTTTAATCAAGAGATAGAATATAATATATATAACATGATAGTTAAATTC